CACACACACACACACACACTGCCCTCAATCTTTGAGTGAAAACATATAAAGGGTTGTATATAGAGTAAAACATAAAATAGAAACAAAAACAATATCAGATTGTATGTGTGTGAGTGTGTGAAGTATGTGTGTGAGTGTGTGAATTGAGAAGCACTGTAAAACACTTTTCAGGAACTATATTGTTATTATTTACTGTTGGTTGTCTAAAACAAAAACAACAAAAAGTACAAAATAAATGACTAAAATCCATTTAGTGTGCTTCACCTTATAATCTATATATTTTTTATTAAGGTAATAAATTTTATGGCAGCAACAATACAAAAATTTGATAAAGCCCATGTTTACAACCATGACAGTCTGTAAAACTCAGGAAATGTTGCTGGAGTTTTGGACAGAAATGTCTCATACTTGTGGGTTCTGGTTTTTCTTTGCCGTATTTTTCATTTCATGAAAAATGTTATCTGGAAGGGGGCATATGTTGTTCTAAAATCTGTAAGTACTTTTCTGCATCGATAGTTCATTTTCACACATGTAAGCTGCCCATRCCGGAGGCACCAATACACCCTCATAACATCAGAGAAGCAGGCTTTTGAACTGTGCGCCAACAACAAGCCGGATGGTTCTGCTCCTCTTCAGTATGGAGGTCATGACATCCACGGTTTCTAAAAATAATTTTCAATTTTGACTTGTGCAACCACAGAAAAGTTTTCCATTTTCCCTTAGTCCATTTTTAAATGAGCTTTGGCCCAGAGAAGACAAAGGTGCTTCTGGCTGGTGTTTACATATGACTTCTTTGTTATGCATTATTGATGTCATGGTGAACTGTGTTTACAGACAAGGATATGTGACAGTGTTTCTGAGTTCATGCAGTGTTGTCCAGAATAGAATGAAAAAATAAGCCGAAGCATTTTCCAGTTTTGAGCATAGTTGTGTTTCCATTTAGGCAAAAATACTACTTTAAGAAAGAACTGCCATGAAAGACAAATGGTGCAATATCCAGTCGTGTTTTGCAGATTGGAGTAATTATTGGCACAATGAGCTCATACTTGCAAAAACAACTAAAACAAACTACTAAAGGTTAAACACTGACTGTAAAGAAAACACCCAGACTCAGAGGACTAGAAAAGAAAAGGTGTTTTGTAACAAAACGAGCATCACAAACACATATTGCAGCAATTGGAAAGACATTTTCAAAAGAGGTCAATGTAAAAAACAGGCCAAAAATATGACTTGAAACACTTTTAGAGATTTGTTAATGTTGGAGGCAAACACTAAGAAGACTTCCAGCGCATATTTTCATAATTTTTATTTGTAAAGCACCGTTTAAATTAATAAAAAAATCAAGGATGACAATTTATTCTTATTTGCTTTATATGTGCAGCGTTGCAGTTCTCTGTAAAACAAATATTGAGACAAACACAACAACCCACTGAACAATACATTTTATTAATTTGCAATATGCAGTGAAATGCTGCAGACAAATATTTAATGTTCCTGTTGGGATTCTTGAGGGTGTTTTGGTTGCTTTAAGTCAACAGTTTGTGTCAACACCAAAGTTGCTCAACAGGTTTTACAGATAAATCTTAATCATGTGAGTTATTTGGATCCTTATATTGACATTAAACAATCTTACAACACGTTTGTTGTTAAAATGATTAAAAACAGCTCTTATTGGAAAACSATGTGGAGTAGATCCTGTTTTACACTTTTATAAGACATCTGAGGTGAGTTTATGAATCGTTACCATTAGATGGCGCTAAAATAAAATCTATACATAGACTTTTATTGCCAACATAATTATTTAAATTTTATATAGTTTTCTGCCACTTCCTGTCTTTAATGTGTGTTKTTGTTGATTCTGTGAGTTTATAGCTGAACTGAAATTTAAAAACAAAAGTTAAGGCTTCCTTTATCAAGTTGTAAAGTAAATTTCACAAGATGAATGGGAAGAGGTTTCTAAAAAAATAGCACAGATGACCACTAGGGGGCGCCATCTGCGCATGACTGTAAATACAATCAACGTGGAAGAAAAAAATAAAAAACGCGCGCGCGCGTGCGTTCTTGTTGTTGTTCCATCATTAGGACCTTTTCTGGAACAAATGAATGACCTTGCCGGGAGTACTGACCTCAGTGGGACCAGAACCCGGTCTAAATGAGACGCCACGTCCCTGGGAAAAAGGGTTGAGCTGTATAATAATTAATAGCCAGCAGTAAAGTTTAGGCTCGCGCGCAATAAATGGAAGTTAACGCAGTGTCCTCGTAGGGAGAGAGAGAGAGAGAGAGAGAGAGAGAGAGAGAGAGACGTCAGGATTGTAGAGCTGAGCTCAGACTGAGGGAATAGTGAAGGTTGGTCCTCATTTCCCAGTCTCCCCCGCGTCCCAGAGCTCAGCTGCCTTCTTCTTCCAGTCCGGACCGACCAACCGAGCCGCATCTGAAGCGTGTCGCGGCGKCTTCGCGAGGACGGAGGAGCCGGGCAGGACTGGAGCTCCACTGCGGTCATGTAGTGTCTTCACATGACATGGATATCCGATGGTGAGTCCCTCTCTGTCTGTCGGTCTCTCTGGGTCTTTGTGGCAGCTGCTGTGTGCACATTCATTGTTAATTTGCTGTCTGAACTGAAATGCAGTCAGAGGATCCAGCACGTCGGAATAAAAAAAAAAAAAAAAAA